CATTCTTCCACTCTAATGAACAGTTATCCTGCTGGGACAGACTAGGCCGACAATGCGCACCTATTGACATCAATATAACTCAGACATAAGTAATCAAGCGATTGAGGGTATATGCATCGTGCGTGATGGGCCCATCTGGCCTATAATAAATACCTATATCATAAACAAATCGCGGTTGGGAAACATATGATGAATGACAGTTAAGTCTGCAGGATCCTAATTGACATCATCATCTATTACACATTCGGAACATGCATTGCGTTAAATCGGAGCGAAGTTATGGTAACCCTCTTCTTTTTTTTTTTATAGCGAGGTCATTAAAATAGCTCCCAATGAATGAAGAAAGGAAACGAGAACTCATGTCATTAAAAGGATGACGGAATACTAAACAGGTAGGCCTAATGACACAAACTGAACAATTTGAGGCAAAGGGGGAAAGACTAAACCTGGGCCTATTAAAATCGTTTAAGTTTGCGTGTGTCCGTGCTGAAAACATTGGACTCACAATTAATTAATTTTTGAACAAAACTTATTTTCGGCAAATATTATATCCATGCCCCTGAACTGCATTGACAAAATGATGAGAGAGCGGTTTATTTTAAAAGTCTCACTGCTATTTCCTGCTGACAATGGGGGCACTTTTGCTGTAATGGGGTTGCTGTCCCTAATGTGCCACCTGCTCAAGTAGGGTGTTGGTGATGTGCTAATTTTGCTGACACTTACCTAAAATTCCGAGACGGTAGTTAAAAGTGACAACAATGACGTCACCGTAACTGGCGAGTACGCTGCCATCATACATGCTCCCCGATCCTTCCTAAAGCCATCGCCGTGAATGAAGACCATGACCGGGTAGCCATCGACCGGCGGGCCCGTGTCGTCCCCCATGGGTTCCTCGGCACCGCCGCGGTCACCGCCCTCTTGGTCGCCGGTACCCTCCGGGCTGGTCCGCGGGTTGCTCCTCGGCCTCCGAGCCCTGCTGGCTTCCAGCTGCGGCCTCACTCCACGTCTCGGCGTCCCCAGGAACCCCCGGGTCCCTCGCTGCCGGTCACCGGGGGCGCGTCGCCGGCGAAACTGACGCTTCCTTCTGTGTCTGTTTCGGTTCCATCGCCATCTCTTGGTTTCATTTCTGTAAAATATGTATTCGTTAAAGAAACATTCAGTTGAATAAAAACAGCCTGTTGCTCCTAATCCAGGCTCTCATGTAGACTTCAGGTTTGTACGTTAGGTCTAGCTATAGCAATTAAATCACGAGCCATAAAGTCTCCATTCAAGTGGCAAGTTTTTGAAATGTAATTTTCTTTGTCCATTTGCTGTTTTTTTTTGCAATCACTTCTGATTGACTCGACTCAAACTCTGAAACACTGTCATTCCTGTCCTCGAAAGAAGGTGACACTTTTTATATTTTAAGCTTTTATACGAGTAATGTGTCTTGCTTAAGAAAACAAGCTTCAAAGTTCTCGGATGAATTTAAATCAACACTTTCACATTTCCCCCTCACTCTCCAGTACTTCAGCTTACTGGCCAATTCAGAAGCACAAAAAGTTAATCTTTGATCAGTGGCTATTATAATTTGCTTAGACCTATATTTTAAAACATCGGATTTTGTTTTTTAATAAGGGAATAATGTGTGCTTGGCCGGTTTAAAATAATCTGTTTAAGACCGGTTGGAGTCTTGATGATGATAATTACCCGAGCCGAAATATCAATATCGGTATAAAATATCAAAACTTTTCGGTCCAAAAGTCAAAAAGGTCCACAATTATCAATTTCCAACGATTTTGTTTTTGGAACATCCTCTAGCAGTATTATGAATTATCCCACTCGCGAGTATGGAGATTGCGCGCGCGTCGCGCGTACTGCGCGATGTGGCGCAGAACGCAGCTGTGCCGGTGTATTGTGCATTTAGGACTACGAAATACTGACTCACTGGTAGTATTGCGCATGCCTACGTGAGCATTGTAACCGTTCAACCTATAAACAGTAAATGCGCCGGATTTCACAGGAGTTTCAAATTTCATGCGACACTGGAAAAGTGTTTAAGACCAGGCAGCCGGCCTTTATCCATCGTTTAAAACCGGTCACGTGACGGGCTCTCGACCAACATGAATGGGTAAACTGTCTTAAGTTTTTATGAATAGCTCATGTTGGTAATAGTCTGAATTTAACTTACAAGTTTAGATATTTAATTCAATGTTCGTACCGCCATCTAAAATCAAATCTGGGTATCCGAATCCCCACACCCTGAACGTGTATTAAATGCAAAGGGTGCATGGCCATTGTTTGACAAAAAGGGGCAGAATTCAATGACAAAAAAACAATCGCAGAACGAAAATTCAGTAATACTACTCCTCATTCTTCTTCTAATTTAATTAGGTGCAAATGTCATTCTCCAGACAGTGTTCTCTCTCCGTTGTTCATGCGTAGCATACCACGGCTGAGGAGAATATATAGCATCGGGCAGAAGAGCATAATTCACGTCCCAGATAAGACATTATGAGATTTATTGATCCGGCAACTCAGCAGTCACGCAGCCGGCTCGACGTGCACGATCCCGGAACGGTCCCACGCCGGGCAGAACATTCTAATCTTTCAATCAATTCATGCAGCTGCAGGCAACATTGTCATAAGAAATGTAAGACTTTTTCCTGGAGTAGGTGTTGAAATGTGAGCAATACCTGACAATTGCCGTGATTATAAAGAGTATGGCTATGGATTTTCCTTCAGGTTTTTTTTTGTTCAAGACGATATTCGGATGTAATAACAAACTATAATACGAGCCGACAGCATTCAGAAGCAAGTCCATCTGCACCACAAGCAATTGACAAGCAGTGGACAAAGCGGTTAGAAACAACAGCAGTATCACAACAGCAAAAAAAACCTGCAGCGCGAGAAGAAACTTCAGTAAGCAGCTGCTGCAGCGAAGGAGGGGGAAACAGCAACTACCAAGTCGGCAGTTGAAACAGCAGCAAATGAAACAACATTAGCAGCAACAACAGCAGCATCAACATAAAAAAACACTGCAAGGTCAGAACAAGCAGCTGACGCAGCAGCAAACAGGAAACGACACAAAGAACAACGCAGCAGTATATAATTATAACAACAGCAAAAACACCTTCAGCGAGAGAAGACATTTCAGTACGCAGCTGCAGCAGCAGAGTAAAAGCAACTTCATCATCAGCAGTGGAAACAGCAGCAAATGCAACAGCAATAGCAGTATTGTATGCATCACTTCGTAAGACGACAAACGGGCGCGGCCAGGACATCAGCCTTACAGAAATTGTGGGCATGATTTTAAAATATTGGCGCCGAAATAGCCAATGCAGTCAATTCCTCAAAAGTCTTCGTAAGTCAATCATGAGTAAGCCATCCAGTCTCAAGTCAAGTGAAAAGCTAACCAAATAGCTACAAATCGGCATTTGTATTCTTTCTAAATTGTTGACAACAACATTCTAGAAATACTATGCAAAGCTGCATTCATTTTGTCGCGTAGGAACACAGCATGCGAGCCAGCTAGCCTCAGATAGGTCCGGAGAGAGACTGGCCCGATTTACCAACTAAAATGATCATAATATTAACTTCCCTTTCTGGTATCGCTGAGTTCAACAATTAATTTGGTTACTACACATGAGTTCCGAACGTGTCATGTTCGATGCAGGCAAACTAAGCCCTTGCGTTGGACCTGGTAAAGAGTTTGGTGTTTTGTTGCATGTGACTGATGTTGTTCCAGTTGTTACACAGTTTCGTATTTGAGTCATTTCATGCCCTTTAGAATTTGGTTCTTCCTGAACCGAAATGTGAGCCAAGTGCAAGTGCATCACCGCAATAACGCCTCTAGGCAGGTGCTTTCCTGTCCATTTTGACAATCCGTGACCTGATTTGACAACCGAGATTTTGTGCATTATAGAAATGAAGTCCTTGGCTGTTTTCCTTCAATTGGAATTCTTGACACACACATCCAGCAATCACTCTCCCCAACTCTGGACTGATTTCCTGCACTTTTAGTATTGACGTGCCATGCACAACATCTTTGAGACCTTGCACTCTGGAATGATGATCCTCAGCGAGTGATTTTACTTTATATAGACAGACAGCAAGGGCTGGCTTATTTGGTGTTATGTTGCAAGAGCATGCATGTTTGGATCAATTCTGTCAAAAATCACGAGTAGGTCGCAATAGGCGCCCCACACTTAGAAGTCACGAACAAGCAGGGCTTGGCCATTTTGAGATAATCATGGATAGTCATTCGTCATTCAAGAAAACACCACACCTATGAAAAAAAAAGAGAATGTACAGCTTCATTTGTGTGTTAGTTTACGTGCTTAAGTCAGTTTCGTTGCTATATATTTTAGAACCATAAGTAACGAACACACTAATACATTTGGTTTAAGCCCTATAAACCATAGGCGATAACTTTACTTGAAATAAGTAAAATAAAGGTACTTGGTCTCAAATTAAGCAGGACCTACAAATGAAGTATGCATATGTATGCACACATGCAGACTTTTCCCAAACATTTGTTCATAATTATGGATGGTAAATTACAACAGCAAACAGGTAGACCCTACGTTAAGTTAGTCTCGAAATTTAGATAGGAGGGTAATAGTTAAGGAGAAGCTGTCCAGGAATTTCGTTGATCCGAAGACAGTATGAACGTAGCGTTTACCCGTCTTAGTGTAACATCACATCTCCACTGGGTTTCCTCATTGCGTTACCGTATAATCCACTGAGTCACAACAACCATCGTATCTCATTATGTCGGTCGCGAGGGGAGCGCGCCGGTAATGTCGCCGTCATTATTCGGCGGTGACACCGGCTCACCTTTCAGCATTTTTTTCATCCGCACGCTCGTCAGTTTGTTTGTTCTCCCATTTCGCGTACCATGATACGTCTGATCGGGCGAGGAGCGAGGCCCCCGCGCGTAACACGGCGATGCGCGTTAACTAGCCTCACGCACTCGAGCTCGCTGTCGAGTGGGGCTTTTGCGAGCGGCCGCTTTTTTTTAAGTCAACTGTGTTGCCTCGCGTGCCCCGACTCGGCCGGCCGGGGGCTAAGGGCCAACTCGAGTGGCTGGTCGGATTTCCTCAGATTCGAACTCGTCTCATAACATTAGCATTGCATTCTACACCAAGAATTCGGACTAGTAACTGCCGGGTTTGACAAATAACAATCTCCATATGTACAAGGAATGGCAAGACGAGGAATACCAGTTGGATATTTCTCGTGCGTCAGTTTTCTTGTCATGTGATAGACAATAGTACATGTATATTGAATGATACTGGTTTGTTTCAAGTGTACGGAACTTTGAAGATTACCATTCTACACAATATTCTGTACAATATATTCTGTTCGTGCAGTGACCAGATTGGTCCCGTACAAGCTTCACTTTTATAGCACAATCATCTGTGTTTTAAGGACACTGCAGAAGCCACGGTGTTAAATTGACAATGTGTCGTGGGTCTACCTATCAACCATTGTCAGACCATTGTCCGTCTCACTGTGGTTCATAAAGAGAGTCATTGGTCCTATAACACACGCTGTTAAAGCTGTCCCAGATAATTACATGGTTAATTTGACAACGTAATTTTGTTACAAGTTGGTTAAATTTGTCCGTTTTAGATACTGAGTGTGTTAAATAAACATTCTCATAGAAGCCAACATATTATAGAACTTTTGAACCATTGGTCCTATTTTAATGAAAGTGCTAGGTCTGTAGCACTTATATATGTTAAATTAAACACAGTGGTTTATAGCGGTATTACACGCCAACAATAACAGTGCATTAGTTTCAAGGTAAACATCAAGAACCAAACTACCAAATCATTA